ATGTTGTATTTATATAGCGCATATTGCACATTGCCCCAATGCGCTTTACAGAGAAACAATATAGGCCAACTGAGAAAATGCAAATAACAATAAAATAGTAACAATAAAATAAAATAAAAATAATCATAACAACAATGAGACTAAACTTTTCCTATTCCTTTAACTAATTAATGGTAGGCTCTGAGGAGCTCATCCGCCCCTTGTTTTTCTTGCTGCTGGGTGACCATAAACACCCTCCCCTCAGCAGAGGGTTGTCAGTTTGGTCGCCGACGCTTCGACCGGATGAAGTTTAACAGGACGTCCCTAACTACCTTAAGCTAGGCTTAACTACTCTTAAATACAGTATATTACTACAATTGGTCAAACTATCCCCCGCCGGACACCATCCCGGTATTTACCAGTTTCGGGGCCACTTCACCTTCACAACCCCCCCCCCCCCCCATCAGCACCCCCATTTCAAGACTTCTAGATACGCCACTGCAGCCATACAAGAGAAAACGTTTTCCGTAGGACCTCAAATGCTATTCTGACACGAACAAAACTGAATACCCGGTATCTAGTTGTGGATCTCAATGTCCGAGAGAATAAAGGACTATAATTGTTAAGAATATTGTTATATTTATATTATAATTATTAATTTCTATAAGTTTGGTTCATCTAGCTGGGGCTTATTTCTTTTCCAGATTTTCATTATAATATAGTACAAATATTTGAAGATTTTCATTGTAAAGTAACGCTATTAATAATTGCGGTACATCTCACAATTTTTCATGGACAAAACATGTTTAAAAGTTCGAAAGTCAAGGCACTCTTTCAATCTGTGTAAATGCATGTGCGACCTCTCCTAAAGACTACGGTATTAAGATATAAGCCTTATCTACAAATGACAACGTGAATTTTGCTGCAAGCAAATATGTGGTTTTTGTTTGATAAATTGTTGTGATATTATGTTTTCAATCCCCACTCGAAAGTGAAATTGGAAAGCCATGTAGGCACCATTTTAGAGTGAACTTTACTTTCTTAGAAACTTGCCAATTTGTGTAAGTGTGGGTGCAATCTCTCCTAGTAAAATAATATAGGCCTTCTTATCTACAAATCTCAACCTGAATTTCGCTGCAAGCAAATTATGTGGTTTTTGTTTGACAAATTGGTGTGATATCATAAGTTGTCATTCTAGTATGTCTGTAGATCGACATTACTAACTAACCTTCTATCCATTGCTCAATTTACTTCCTTGGTTATCAATATCAGGCGTTTAATTTATCTAAGTAAGACCCGTTTTTATTATCATTGTTGACACCATTGTAGTGCAAATAGGCCTACCGTACTCGCGCCCGGGCGCTTAAAATATTTTTTGCATTTTTTAAGGGGCTTATTCAATCAGGGCGCTTTTGAAAACAGATTGGAAATTGAGGGGGCGCTTATGGAAATAGATGAAAATCGAGGGGTTCTTATGGGAACCTATTAAAGTCAAGAGGCACTTTTTGAATGAAAAAAAAGATTATATAGGGCCCATAAGGACATTACAAATGGTGGTTCGGAGGAAAAGATAATCGTCCAGGAGAACAAGGCTCTTGACAAGAATGTCGTGAATATTTACATAGAATGGCAGATGCAATGGTGGGTAGTGGTTATAAGCATGTTGGCCATCGGCCGATTGAGATTAGCAGGATGGCAGGATCATTGCAGCTTTTCTTGCAAAAATCAGATGAGAATGTGTTAAAGGTGCAAGTTGTCGGAAAAAGAAAAAGAGGAGTAGGACTAGGCCTAAATATGTAAGAAGAGGAAAGTTGAAAATATAGACCTACTGTCTGTCCAGGGATCGGAGTTCTCATCTGTCAAAAATCCTCATTTTTGTATTGACCTAAGAAGAATGTGATTCCACCCTGCAGCTCAAATCATGACAACAACCACAGCCCAGGACTGATTGGATTATTGACTTTCTAAAAAGAAATTCTTATGATGTTATTGAGGGGCGCTTATTCGCGCGAGTACGGTATTCAAATAAAGACCGTTATTTATATTATTATTATTATTATTATTATTATTATTATTATTATTATTATTATTATTATTATTATTATTATTATTATTATTATTATTATTATAGGCCTATATCAGTATCAGACAGTGGCAGTAGTAGTAGTAGTAGTCGTAGTTACGTACGGTATATGGTCGACGAATTTTAGATACATAAGAACGTAGAGTACGAATATGAATTTATCATTATAGGCCTAGTGTTTGGTATTTTAGGGGTCGTTCACAATTTTCAACATTTTTACAAGTGTACAAACAGTACGCTAGGGATGAGGGGGTTGACAAATTTGTACACGTTTACATATGCATGAAGTGTTGATTTAAAATACGGTAACATGCAATATTTAAAATAGATGTTTATGACCAATTATAATACAGCCATGGATATAATATCATATTTTAACCTTGTACAGTACTTCAGTTGACTTCACAATAAAACGGAGAATGGTTTTGCCAAATTGAATCAACATTTTATGTACACTTTCAGAGGGGAGGGAGGGGTACCGAAAAAGACCTGTTTGTAGGCCTACACTTGCGAAAATGTTGATAATTGTCAACGACCCCTTAGATAGAATCAATTCTCGACTTAGGCTTAAATATCACTCTCATGAAATATTGTGAAATTAAATTTTAAAATAATGGCCTTTCTATGTATTGCTTTCCACAATCGAATAGATAAACTAGTACAACTATGTCCATTATGAATGAACCCAATTTTTATGAGAGATTTATTGAGAAGCACTTGCGTTTGATGATGGAATGGCTACATAAATATAGGCTACAAATTATACGAGGTAGTCAAGTAAATATAAAATATAAATACTTGTTGATCAAAGAGAAAAAACATTATTTGCTCCCCTATGTAGGCCTAAATTACTGAACGTAGGGAATGAGCAGCTAGCCCTGACTCGGCATCCTGTGATAGGGTGGCCAGTTCCTTTCAAGCTGAGGCCGCCTTTTTCCTACCCAGTAGTAAAGCGGGTACCCATTTATACTCCTGGGTTGAAAGACAAACTTATAGTAAAGTGCCTTGTCCAAAAACACAAACGAATGCACAGCAAATGCTCGAACCCCCTCCCTCGAGGTTGAAAGACTGCGCCAACCGCTCCTCCAGACATTTTTTTTTACTTTATTACAAATATTCTGCTGTTGGTTCTTCCGTCCGTTTATACTTCGATTATGTTTGAAGACTATCAATAGGCCTACTGAAATTGTCCGTAAACGTCCTGATTGGTTATTATGTCTTTTATGAGCTAAAAATGGAAAAACATTTAATTCCATATGCCTATTTTAATTGCCTGATTTGTATATTTAATTTGGGCCTTAACGATTAAAGAGTTGAATGAGAATAATTTTTCCCCACCAATTATCAGACAGTTAAATAATAGACCTTCTTCGGAATTTTTAAGTACTGCAGTGGATTTGTGCGCTTTATAAATCTTATTATTATTATTATTATTATTATTATTATTATTATTATTATTATTATTATTATTATGATTGTACATCAAAGAAAGCCTTTTTCGGTCAGATTCTGGTTAGAATTTTACTAAGTTAGGTCTATATAAGCCATTTAAATCAGCTACTCAAAAATTTATTATGTTCCCCGATTTTGTTTGCATGTAGCCTACATTTTCAACTATAACGGATGTAGCTACTAAGTAGAACCGTAATCGGCGTTTCGATCTATCTCCAAATTAAGTGAGCATAATTCACCCGATCTTAAATCTGTCTGCGGCTATCGTTCCAACACAGGTTACAATATAAATTACTCATCATTAATACATGAATCTTGGTCCTAAATATCTATCTAATGAACCGTGCAAGTCATCACGTTCCCTTAGGAACTCCACCATTTTACGAGTTACAACAGTCAATATTCTTATGGCAGGAGGTAGGTCATTCTGTAAAGACTATTCCGGTGGTCTGGGACGAAAAAAGTGTATTTAGGTTTTTAACCTTCTAATTTTTAACATTTTATTTTATAGCGAATATGAGCAATTGAGCGACACTATACGGTGCAAATATAAAATTTAAGCTGCCTTGTTTTATGCACTTTTGCTGTGGCGGATGCAGGATTTTGCGGTAGGGGGTGCGTGAGAGTCCACACTACCTCAGCCCCACCATGGGTGGGGCTGAGGTGCAAACAATTTTAGAATATGGACCTCTAGGTGTCCGGAAATTGCACTTTCATACCTTAAAAATCTTACCGGTTAAAACTAGTTGTGGCGCCAGGATTTCCCCGAAGGGGTCCATGCCCCCGACGAGGGGGAGATTTCCCCAACGAGAGCAAAGTGGGCGTGGTCGGGCGTCGCTTAAAATTTCCCCCGAAAATGTTGACTATTTAGGGGTTTCAAAGGATTATTTACGGTAATGGATTTCAGAGTCTACTAATATGTAGAAATACATGTAGATGTGTATAAGAGACAGCCCCCCCCCCGCTAGCGCCGCCCTTGATTCATATCAACAATATAAAATACAACAATTAGTTTTCTTAATCATGGAGGAACTAAACTAATTCCTCCATGATACAACGTAGACGGTGCTATCACATTATGTTGTTATGTAGGCCTATCAACAAAGCCCATTTGGCTCAGTTTTCTAGATCAAGGATCCTATGGGGGAGGCATTCGGGCCCCTAGGGTTCGGGGCCATGTGGACCGCCTCACGACAGCGCATAGGCGTTAGGCCACTGCTTACATAACCAAATTGAGCAGGAATAATTAAAATATGGTTTCCCAAAGATTTCCATTGTAATCCCTGTTAAAATCTTCCTGAACAGCGCCATCTATAAAATTATGCCTGTACTTAATATAGCTCATGCACCGCTCGGGTGACTACTAAATCTATTGTTTATAAATTGCTTAGTTCGCTGAACACACAAATCGCTAGTGTGGTGGCTTTTGGAACACGGTGGACGTCTATCTATCGAAAATTGAGGCTCATACAGCGCTAACGCTTGGCCCGCTGAGGTAGTTATAGATGGAGTGGTTACACAATTTAAGTGATTGAAAATGATTGACTTACTTATATGCAGTACAGTTGCTCTTCTGGTGTATCTAAACACTTTGGACGCCGACTTTGCATACGATGATTCGTAAGTTAACTTGTTGAATACTTTTCTGACTGTCCTATATTTAGGTCGATGTGGTGGATGGATTTCGATAGCCCTCGGGCTAGATTTACTAACTTATGCCTCAGTGAATTTGCTTGTGGCTCAAAACATTAGGCCTCTCTATTTCACACATGGAAATTAACTTCATGCTGTTTTTTGTACGTATTATGCCTGTAATGTTTCTATGTTATTTGAAAAAAGTGTTTTTGATATTAATTTTTTGTACACCGTGCACGATGTTCTTTTGGTGAACAAAATAGATGAGAAGTGGAAATGTATGCCTGTGCATCCGGTAGCCAGCCAGATTTAGGCCTTGGCTAGTGGTATAATTAATTATTTTTGTCATGTCGACATCGTGAGACTGTGTACCGTATTTCTTTTGGATTCACCTTCACAATTTTGAGTGTGCTACTGCTAAAAAGTGTAGATTCCGAATAAATTACTTACATGGTGACACCAATCTTAAATCACTTCTGATGTCTTACTTTTGACTTTTTCGTGTTTGTTGTATTATATAGTACTTGAACATCATATGCATGTACGTTTATTAGTAGTTATTCCTCCAAAGTATTAAATTATATGTAAAAAAAAATTTATAAAACTTAAATGTTTAAAGCATGGAGGTGGAGGGCCGGCTCTCCCTTTTGAAAAGTAAAAGAAAAATAAAGAACTTATTGATCGCCCAAAATGCCTCAGAGGTTATTTTCGGGCGTCTAGAAAACAAAACATTTCCGGACTCCCTAGGGTAGCGTTGTCTCTCAATCGCCTCCTCCTCCCCCCCCCCCGCAAGTTTTCTCATTTTCCCCTGTCTTTTGAACACTTGTTCTAACATCTAATATTATGGTACAGTAAAAAATAAACCATAACCAATTTCATTGGCCTTTTTTTCATTCGCACCCCAGTGGCTCTCCAGGATATAAATGTAACTTCTTTACTACCGTAGAACCAACACATCAAATTTGAAGAGCTTTTCTTTACAATTTGGTAACTGTTAGTTTAGTTGTGGATAGGATGTAAATCCATTGAGAATTTTTTTCTCAATGTTAATGTATGTTAATCATCTTGAAGTACTTTTAGGCTAGCTAATTATACTTAATTATAATATATTTGCATTTATTAGATTTTAATTGCTAGTTTAATTATCATTTACATGAATTAACAATACCATAGTAATTATTTTTTTTAGCTGATTCATTTAATACATAAAATTGCAAAAGTTTTTTGAGAAATATTTATAAAATCTTGATTATACTGTAAGTTTCATCAAATACCATATGCTTATATAAAAAAATTAATTATTTTAGCAAGTTTAATTACTTTGCCCCATAAATTATCCATCTACAATCAAATTTATTCTTGATTATTCAACATAAATATATTTTTACTGGTTACATAATTTAACTTCTTTTTTCCTGATAACTTCTTTTTTTCCTGAATTTTGCATTCTTTTCTACTATTTATACTTAGACTTGTATTATATATTTGAACCTTAATATTAACTTTAAGCTCAGAAGCCTCACTTTTAATCAGTCCATCTTAAATCTTTATTATTGATGTATGACTTCATTGTACCTAAAATTTTGAACTTATATACTTACTATGTATTGTTTTGTAATCCTTGTGCAATGTATAGACCCAGGTCTATGTTTTTTTTTAATGCAGCATTTGTAATTTAGCTGCAAAGCTACAATGATCATATTTTGTAATAAAACTTGAGCTTTAAATATCCTTAAATTTGAATGTTAAAATGCAAGGTTGTATTTGACATCTGCTTTGCTTTTCTGTAGAAATAAGTAAGACTTTGCAATGATGTATTTTTAATGATTCTCCACTGATGATGACCTTCTAATGACTTGAATCATAAACGTCATATTTTTTTACGAGCGCATTTTCTTGAGTGCATGCGTCGATAGGCGACAATGAGGTATGTCTAATGGTCTTCAATATGATTATCATATTTGTTTCGTTGGAAGATTTCCATAAAATGGGGCCTCTGCTCCAAAAGGTAATTTTCCAATTATAAAATAGGGTACTATAATTGTTGTCACTGAAATGCAAATTTCTGTTGATTTTATTGACATTTTATTGTAGTGTATTACGACTACCCAACACATTAGGTTAGCTAAAAACCCAATAATTAAGCTTATTACACTCTGCCAATGGCAAACACTATGAAAACTGTTCAATACTATTGCAGCTAAATTGAAAAGGCAATCAATTTTTCTTTTGTATTTAAAATTTGTCATTCTGCTAGATGTAGTGGCAGTTGCATATCCTGGGGCTATGAACAGGGTACTGTTTTTTTGCATCCCACACCCATTCCCCCTCCACTGAAAAGGTATTTAGATAAGAGATTAAAATCTAAACCTCTGAACATTCAAGGAACATACAGTAACTCCCTGGACCTCAGGTGAACGTGAAACTCCTAAATAATAATAATAATAATAATAATAATGTATTGCTTAAAGGTTTGCATGGCGAAGAAATATTATATATATGTTGAAGCTTGCGGTACACCACGTAAGTAGTTCTGAAAAGAACTGTTGTATTTGAGAAAGTCTCTTATAATGATAACGATTTTGTTAAACCCACAGGTACTCCCTTCATACTTGCATACTTCTGGGAAAATAATCCTATATTAGATCTCAGACACTGAGATTTTCCAATCCATTGCAGGGGTGGATTTAGGGAGGCCGGGCTGGCCCCGGCCCCTCCTTTGGGAAGGTAAAAGAAAAGAAAAAAAAAAAAGAAAGAAAGAAAAATATCAAATTTATCACCCAAAACGCCTCAGAGGTTATTTCGGGCATCTAGAAAACAAAAAATTTGGGGGTGGGGGAAATCCCAAAGACCCCTAGGGTAGTATTATCTTGATCGGCCCCACTTTCGGTCTCCCTTTCGGCCATCTCTCGATCCTCCACTTGCATTGGTACTAGTTAAATTTCACAACTATCGCGTCATTCATTATAGTGGTGTTTGTTGGCTTTTTCTGCATTGGCCACCTCGGCGATTTAGTTTGCCTGGATTCTCGGATTCTATGTTCAATTATAATATTTAAAGATAATACATTTCACTTTATACTATCACATTCACTTCTAAAAATACAACTAACCATGGGAATCTTACCCACACAATTCATGTTTACCCCAGCACAGCGTCTATCATTGATTAAAGCCCCTCCATTATAGATTTTGGATCTTCCACAATACATTTCATCCATCTAATCTTCTTTGAGACAAAACCTAATTCAAATCTGTTAAGTTAATCTAAAACCTTCCAAACAATCCTTTTGTTTCTGCCACACTTCATACCAAAGTCTGAATTCTTTAGGTTTAATTTACCTGGTTCTAAAATATGCAAAACAAAAGTAGTTTCTGTTTGCACTTTTAACTGTAACATGCAATCTATATTCATGTGTTTAACAGACTCTTCCAGTCCTGTGCCAAGTATCAAAGAAGCCTTGTAATAGAAGCCATGGTCACAATACCAACAATATAGTAATGCAGCCACCATATCAAAGCACTATTGTAGGTATTCAATGAAAGCTAGGCTAGTGGAAGGTGTTAGGTGTTAAATAAACGTGTATTGCTTAAGGCTATACTTTAAAAAAATCATAAATAACAACTTTGAAATCTTGAGAAACTGTTAAAATAGTATACTTGTACAGTAGATAAAACTGCAACAAAATAATATAGCATCGGCCTACTTTAAGACAATTTAAAGCCGAATCAATTGAGTATATTATAATATTCTGTATTTATTTCTAGAATATTATAAGATTCTGTAGGCCTAAGTGTTATAATTTCATCTGATCATGGACCTATGATCTGATAATCAAATATCATATATACAGAATCTTTAGTGGAAATGTTAAATATTTTGTCACTATAAACACTGACACACGTGGCTTAATTTGGAAACAAATTGATTGATAATTCGGAGATAAGTTGTCTGTATTTGTTTGCTATTATACATGGTACTCAAGGGAAGGGATTCAATTTACATTTAGAAACAGTTAAGTGAAGATGAAGTATGGTATTTGAATAACGTCCTGTACTTGACATGCTCTTTAGAATAATACAGTGGTTTATACCTAAAGCAAATACTCATTTACTTTAATTTGAAATTGTTTCATGATCATAATATAAATATTGCATTGTTTAGTATTTCTTTTTATGTTTAGGCCTATAATATATATATTTAAAAAATCGGAGTTGCTTCATAGGCAAATTATATATTTATTATAAAATTAAATATGTTGGTGGTGGTAGTAGATCTGCTTCAAATTTATTGAGAAATTAAAGGCAAGATTTTTTGGGTGTAATTTGGGTGTAAAACTTTTTCAAGTCTAGTAATTACTGGGTATGCATTATTATAGAAAAAACATAGATGTTCACATTCAGACATTCATATCCACAAAGTAGCTTTACATCTACCTCTTAAAGAATTACCTGCAGGTACTCTATGGTACAGTGTGGTATCTCTAATGATAATAATTTTTCATATAGTGCATCATGCCAACCAGGCCTCCAACTTTATGCACTTCATATATTATCTCGGTCACTGGATCAAATCAAACACCTATGCGAGTACACACTCAGCTCTCTGGGGGAGAATTCCATTGCAGCTAATATACAGTAGTAATCATCCCATTGGTATTTGAATCTACTTTTCCTAGTACCCGTTTATACTACTGGGTGGAGAGGGACAACCATAGGTTATGTGTTGCAAAAAGGCACAATAAGCAAAATGCTTAGTGGTGGGTTTGAACCCCGAGCTCGTACAAAGTATGACACTCCAAAATTAAACCATATTTTTAGAGGATGAACCTTCCCACGTATCCTACAAGTTCGGCTGATATTAAGGGGCCCTCTTTAAATAAATGAAATATTTTTATGCTTTTATCAGCAAGCATCTTAACCACTAAACTATTCAACTCTACTCCAATGCTAAAATGTTTTGGATTTTGTCTTTTTTTTTTTTAA